CCATGTAACAGCATACTATAAAAGAAGGTCAGCAACCTAATATAGCAATCTTCCACTTCACGACCCTCAGGTATAACTGGGATGTGTGAATGGGAAGATAACAGAGATTCTGCATCATCATTTTGGCCCACTTCTACCAGCGCTTCCGATACCAAACTTAACACATATCAACACAGGCCTAGGGGTATAATGTTGTTATCAACAAGTTGCTTACCTTTGATATTGTGAGTGGTCTTTGATGATCACGTCCACCATTCAAGCGAAATCCCCAAGGTGCACCGCCTTCTAATGTAACGGTAAATCTTGCCATAATTTCCTAGGGATAACTTATTCCAAAACAAATTCAAGTCCACAGCAGGAGCTGGTATACTTTTCACTTAGCAGCTGGAAGCCGCTTGAAAAGAAGCGGGGTTCAAAAGGTGAGGCGCCTGCCGCGGCATTGGCCGTGATGGCGCTAATCAAAACACAATAGCCGATGTTGTTGTTGGTTATGTAATATTTATAATAATAGTTATTTTAAACCGTTGATAAAATCACAAATACCCTTTAATAAGTTCTATTTCTAACATTATTGTTATATTTGGGTTTCATTATTTAATAAATTCATATCCATAAATTGATGAAATTTATGAAACAAGCTTTTTTTTTTTATCAAACGTATATGGCAATAACAATTTGTTTCTTTATTGTTAAATCGGCGAATTTCAGCATTTTATTTCGTTTTTTTTTTTTTGTAGATGGGGTTAGAATTACACACTTGCTAATTAAAATTGGTGAGAGATAATGCTGTGTTGTTGTTGTTTTTTTAAATCTTTAAATTAAAATTAATGTTTAAACTCGCCACTTTGCCAACTGAGCGAGCAATAGTCTATCAGAAAATGTTTAGTTCAGAAGGAGAAGGGATTGCTGACGTGAGGGTCTTCTGAAGACTTCGTAAAGGGCTTAGGAGGGCTACTTTATTTTATTTTATTTATTTAGCATTCATTCATGTTTTAAAATAACAATGACATACAGTATTAGAAAAGAAAGTTGCCTGTTAGACGAAGAATGGATGCATGGAAGATTCTTAAAATCAACAAATTATTTCCAATGAGGTCCTGGCTAACCGTCAGGGTGAATAGCCCTATATGACATGGACGGTACGATATTTATATGCAGTACCGTATTTAAACCCGGCTGCATCAACAATAAATTGTATCAGACCACTTTCATATTTAGTACCGTATGCCTTTGTTAGCCTAGTTATATAAAACTAAAAAAGTATATCAGGAGACCTGATTATACTGTAATCCTTTATGAGGCATTTAGTAGGCCTAATGTTGTTATAATCAAATCGCAATTAATTCGGATATAAAATAATGTATGATGTCGGCCTTATCTATTGAATGCAAAATTAATTTAATAAGCCAAACTTGTTATTACGAATTGAAAAAAAAAAGATTTGAATAATAGCCATGTGGATGAGAGAGAGTAGGCATAATAACAGGCCTATAAGAGAATGACGAAAACATTGTGTGTTGGCGAATTTGGATTTCAACATGACTAAAAATGCGCTGTCAAACTGAGATAAAAAAAAATATTAAAATAAATAAATCAATCAATAAAAAATTTAAAAAAAATTAAAATAATATTGCTTCGTTTACTCAGTTGTAGATTTTAATACGAGAATATTTTATTCGTCTAACAAATAGTTCATCATATTATTTGTCTTCCTTGAAATTGGGTGGATACCTTAAATGAATGTAATTATTTTCGCATTAAAAATCTGTAAATAATGAAAATGAATAGTTTTGCTTCGTATCTCATTTCAAAAGCTGATAGATTCCTTTAAAGTTGTACCGTATTGTCCCTTGTTAATGTCAACAATTCATAAAAAAATAACTCTGACATAAACTTGCTCATATTGCAATAGCATACAAATTATTAACTTGTGCATAAAAAATATTGAATTTAAAAAATGTGTACCCTGATTTTTAAGCCAAAAAATTATAATAAAAATAATAAAACACTTCCAGTGACTGGAGGTGTTTCTATGATTTTTCGCTGTAAACTGATGGGTAGACATTTTTTAAATACACTAATTCCTGTGTTCAATTTGATAACTTTCATGTTACTTCAAAATGGGCAAGTTAATTTAAAAAAATATTGGTTTTATAAATTAGAAATTGTTCCGATTTAAACTTTTAAAAAGTGAATAATACAAAAGAGGGCGCCATATAATTTGAATACTGACTGATTATAATGATAGCTATTTTATAACTATAGACCTTGACAAAAGAGGGAAGATTAAATACTTTGAGATGTGGATTTGGAAAAAAAATGATAAACGAGGAAGTTATAAATGTGAGTCTAGAGGCGAATAAATGACGACAGAAACAAATAAAAAAATACATTCGGATACAAGAAGTGTAGGCCTATTCAGTCATTATGGGACAGTTTTCAATAAACATTAGGAAGAAGGGAGGTGAAGAGACGACGGGTAGAGGAAGGGGTTATTTTGGTAATTACGGAATTAGGCCGCTATGCTGTGATCAACAAAAGGTACATAATTATCACTGATTTATAGTAGGCATACCACTAACTCATAATGGACCTTTCCAGAGTGTCAATCAAATCAACAACTGACCAATCACAACATTGCCAGGAATACGCGGATGTCCAACAAAACACATCTGTTGTCCCACTAACGCACGTGTTTGCGTAAGTTTTTTTACACTGTCGTTTGTGGGACCTTAGCAACAATGTCCAAGGGGCGGAGCTTGGCGGAGAGGTCCATTAACCCGCCTCAATAAGAATACGATGATGAATGATGATGATGATGATGGTGATGATGATGATAAGGATGATGATGATAGCCCTAATAATGATTATGATGATGTTGATGATGATGGTGACGATGATTTCTTTTTCTTTTCGGCATAGGGCCTACACCTTTTCCAATTCAATTAAAAACAGTATAGGCCTATAACATTTAAAATTGACAAGCAAAGCTCAGATGAATGATGATGATGATGATGATAATGATGATAGGCCTAATAATGATTATGTTGATGATGATGGTGAAGACGATTTTTTTTCTTTTCGGCATACACCTTTTTCAACTGAATTAAAAACAATATATAACATTTAAAATTGAAAAGCAAAGCTCAGATGAATGATGATGATGATGATGATGATATGCCTAATAATGATTATGATTATGTTAATGATGATGGTGACGATTTTCTTTTTTCTTTTCGGCATACACCTTTATTAAAATTCAATTAAAAACAATATATAACATTTAAAATTGACAAGCAAAGCTCAGAAAACAAAAACATTAACAAAATTAACGTCAACAACATTATACCCCACTTTACGGTAAGAATTCGTTTTTACAATTCCGTTCTGGAGATTAATTTCTGATGAAAATTTTTCATGCTAATAGGGAACTCGCATATTCTTAATCTTCAAAACATAAAACAAATTTCATCACATACAACATAGGTAATTGTTACAGCATTTGAAAAATAATCACTTGCAATCTTGGTTTTTATCCGGTCAGATGTGACGATGATGGTGACGACGACGATGACGGGATGTCGAGGATGATGGGTCAAATGCAAGGGCTAGAATATAGGCCTAAATAAGACAATAATGATATGCTAGTATTATCCATCCACACGGGTAGATCCAGTTACTTCAGGAGAAAAAGTCTTATTGTATACTGCAATATCTTCTACAGTACCTTGCAACTCATTAGTGAATACTGTTTTGTTCACATTTTATGGACATTAACTACCGGTAGGCTAGTTTTAATCCCCTAGCTAACAATGGATCTAACAATAATTTAAAAAGTGACTCCGTTTCCCACGGGAAAAATTGGCTGCACGCACAATAATTGGAATAAATAAGTCGATTACCCTCTACAAATCGCCCGCGCAGCGAAGTTGTAAAAATTAGTAATACTGTAATAATAAACTTCCAATACACTCAATTAAAATATATCTTGCCTCGAAACGGACTACAATAATTTGTTAGTGTTGTCAGTTTTCAGTTGACATGAAAACGAGAGCAAAGGAGCGGTGTCCATACATCCAATATATCTACTTGATCAAACGTCGGCTGCATCACGCTACACTTGATCACGTACACATATATTATTAATTAAAAGTACACCCTAAGTTCGGACTCTTCTCCTTGTAATTGAGTATGAACTTCCTACATTGTAATACAATTTCTTTTTTTCAAACAATTTCTACATTATCGGTTTTCATTTTACCTGGGTTCTTTTGTTTCTTATTACTACGTCAACCGGAGGAAATAAAGCGGGACACCTTTAATAGTCCCAGTGAGCACGTGCCCTCTGCTCTCGTGTGCTACATTTTTTTTTCAATTCAATACATAGGACTCTCAATGTCATGTATTAAAATGAGTACAAAATAGAACACAAATGTAAAGTGTTCCAATAAGGGCCTCCGACTGCTGGTGCTTCCCGATTACCTATGCTGATTGTTCCCTCCGTTAATTATGAATCCACCCTTGACGCTCTTTTTTCCGCTAGTTCCCCCTGTTTAAAAAAAATATGAATCCACCCTTGACGCTCTGTTTTTCATAAGTACTGTAACTGGAACTCATTTCACAACCAAAACATTTAGAGGTCGGATCTTCAACGTTACTTCGTCGATTCTGAAGTGCACCAACCACTCTGGAAATGTTCACACCATTGAGTAAGATGCCAGTATATGACACCAGGTAAAATTTCCGTGAATTATTTTAGAATGCTGCAGGCCTAAATGTAACGTACCTGTACTCATCCTGAGCACTTGTTTCGTGAATGGTTGAAATACAGCGCGTACTCCTTTACATACGCGCAAGATCATTTGAGACATGATATAGGCCTTACTGCGAATATTACGGGATAGTACAGGTAATTAGAGAAAATTATCTGAATACAACGATGACGATCGGAAGCAGCGCAGTCATGAATCAACATCACAAAAACGCTTTCGAAAAAACAATTTACAATATTTTCTTTATTTTGTTTTTAATACACATAGAAGACCGAGGAGCGGTTTCCATGGCTACAAGATGCAGCATAGTAACTCATTCATTTTTTTTGTTTTTCTTCTATATCTGCATCGATATATATCTCTTGATAAACTTATCTACTTGAATTGTATGTCACATACAAATAAATAAAACACCCTAAAAAGGTTAAAATACTAATCGTTCATGGGCTGTGAACTTCTTATACAATAACAGCCCGGAATACATTTTAAAAATGACAAAAAATAAATAAAAAAATAAAATAACAAATTCAGTTCTAGAAAGTAATAGACCTCAATAAAATTGTAATCTGTTGCGTATCATGGCGCACACCCTATATAAGAACTCATGCTAATTAACACATACAATCTACATACTCATCTTTACACACATTCAGAAAATGTATACAATATTTTATAAATAACACACATCAATACATTTGCATATTACAAGATTTCAACATCTTCCGTTTCTTTTTTTCGGATGTTACGCAGACCTATGTTTGTTCGAATATTCAAAATAACATCACATCAACGTTGTTCAGAACGGTGTAGGCCTATATAAAATGTTCATGGAGTATCAGGAATACCGTTGTAAAATCATGATGGAAAAGTGGATTCTAGGATTACTGTCGTATTTTAAGGCAAGGACAATAACATTTTAAAGTTACAGCATTATCACTGTATTATTATACATCAGACTAAACTACATAATATTAGCACACTCCATAGACTTTTATCCAGTCTGAATGTTCGAAGTGAGATGTAATCGTATGAATAGGGAGTTTTCGCAAGCTTACGAAAATGATAACGGTTACGTCATCACATTTGTAACCACCCTTCCCCTACAGTAACGTATCTGTGACAACGTAGGCGATTCATGCCCTTTGCAAGAGCCAAGGATCATATGCTTGTACAGCAGATTGTCAAGATTTGTTTTAAGGCACGAATGACGATAATGACGTATTCGTATTTGTTGTCGTTTTCGTAAGGTTGCGAAATCTCCCTAATATCAACTAAAAGAACATTATTTAAATTGTATTGTCTACACATTAATGGTCACAATAACACATAAGCATGTACTTAACGTGACTTTTTCTTGAATCAACCGTTTGTAAAAATACAGGTGAATAGAGAAAATGGAACACTTTGTGTTATTGCTTACCGTTATTAAAAAATATTGTTATAAGTTGTAAGTACACGAAACAATGACCTAGCAGTCACTTGCATCGTTAGCATAGTAGCTATGTTTTAATATTGTAACAATTAGTCTGTGGTGGATTCTCACTAACGAGTGGACAGTGACGCACGGCAAAACACGGGCACCCGACAGGCAGTTGGCAGACAATAGAAACAGTTGCAGACAATATACTCCACTCGACACTTGCGACCATAAACAGACCGTTCTTTTCACAATTCACCCACTGTCACGATTTCATACATTTTGAAGATCTTGTACCGTAAAATGTGGGAATCCCCCTCCCCCATTGGCACACACACGAGGCAGCGAAAGGGGGAGCTCCCCTTCCCGACAGCAACCAAAAAAATCTCTAATTTAACAAGTGTGAAATCTCAATGAATACGATAATGGCTAAAACTCCGGAGCTTACAAGGTCCTCACAACAGTTAAGGGAATACTCTAATCCTAATTCTTCCCATAGAGATCATATTTCCAGCTACCTTGGGCCATTGGTACCTGAATGCTGGATCCACCACTGGTCCCAAAACCTACACTGGTCCCAAAGCCTACAAGTGCAAGATCATTCATGGTGTTCCAACTTAGGCCACATACCATGAAACAAGAATCACATACTGAAAACAAGACACAAGAAGTTAGCTCGATGCCTACCAATTTTTGCACACTTTTAGCCTCAAAATTTACCATCAATCTATGGATGATATAAGAAACATAAAATTGAAAGACCAGTAAAATAATTTTTATCTGACGAAAGTCCTTATGCATACCATGTTGGCTAAGTCGCAATACCCAACAGTTTTAAACTACTTCTTTTTTCTTACAAAAAGTAAAGCAAATTACAATAAATATTCACAATACCATGACATGAAAATGCAGTATTGAGTAATGAAATTTTGAAATCTTAATAACAAGGAAACAAGGAAACTGCCATAAACTTTTAACTGTCACTCACCAAGACCTTAGAAGGTCAATATATAAACATGAAACGTACTGGAAATGGGTATCTATTACTGTATAAGTAAAATGGTTAAGATCATAGAAAAGTTCTATATACTATATAAACAGTGTAGAAAATTTAACTTATGGCTAATAGTTCTGTAATATGAGAATCGTGCATTTTTATAGAATATTATTGTTGTAGACAAAGGAAGACTAATAATTCTTCTCTCCTTTAATCTCTACTTTAAATTGTATAATATTGCATCCAAAATATATAAGCAGAAAACCTATACTTACTGAAAAATAAAATCATTAGTACTATAATCCAATTGAAAAAAGCCATACTAAGAGATTACAGTTAATTTTCTCAATATCTTTGTAGGCATAACACCAAAACACACTTTTTATTGGCATTTAAAAACTGAAGTATCATAAATTGGACAAGTACATATTTTTACTGGTGACAATTTTAATTTCTACAACTTAAATGAATTAATAATAATTATAATAATAATATTAGGTGAATAAATAATAATAAGAACAATAATACAAGTAAAACCTCAACATTATTGTACTTCAAGGCGCTAAATAACAACCAATTATTTTTTTTAAACATGGAAACAGAATATTTAAATGTCACATTAAAACCTAATTATTACATTTTTAAAGATAAAATTTAATATAAAAAAATGTATACATGGGTACAATTCAGACTTTAAATATTGTACAAATTCAATATAAATTAAGTCTTTAAAATAACATTTTTTCCAAGGTTTTATATTGATAATCAGCTGAATAATACTTAAACAATGACTTCTGTTATTTAAAGTTTTCAAGAAAATTGTCAATTCTCAAAAATTTATGGTTAAAAGAGATACTTATGTAATTCTTATTGAACATTTTCGAGATTAAAATGATATATTCTGTTAAAAAATATTAGGTGTTACTTTTTTATACGAGTTCTAGTGTGAGGCATTATAACATGTGCATGCTTGAAATATGTAAATTTACTGTTTGGAATGAGTCAGATAAATTCAATAATATACATTGTGTGGCATCCTTCTCATAAAACCCTTGATATCAGAATTGTTTTCATTGCCTTCATAATAGTACAAAGTTGTGTGAGTGACAATAAAGTAATATTGTATCATAGCAAACCAATCTTTTTGACATTGGTATACTTTCTTTATAAAGCTACCTTTTATGTTAAATTGTCATTACTCATTCTACAGATATAATAACAGCTATGACAACAATCACATTGTAATTCAGTAGCTTGTTCAAACAGTAGTATAGTATTTTTAAAATGTCCTTGTATTTTTATTCCTAGCCAAATCCATATTAAGTATATCATCTTTATATGACTCAAATTATGTATTCAATTTTTCAAATAATTTGTTGATGTATTTTTTTTTTCAAATGAATAATGAGGTTTATATGGTTTATTCAATTTTCAAATATTTTTATATGCAACAATTATTTTTCATAAAACTTCTCACAATTCAGTTTAACAATAAAGTTAAAATAAAAGAAATGTATCTATATATTTTTTATAGGCCTATGGATTAATTGTAGATGTTCCGTCTGCATTTAGGTATTGATGTCCCAATGTTCTAGAAAATAACAGTAAACAGATGGCGAAAAGCACAATTTGCAGATCATAATATTATGCGATAGCTTTGTTCTTTTATTAGTGTTTTTGCAATTGTTGATATATTATTATATGCTAAAATATAGTGGGACCTTGAAATTTTGCGTTTGAGATGGCATGTGCAACAAAGAGTCGTTTCATTATCTTAAATTCGTGCAGGAAATTCAGTCTCTAAAGGGACAGTGAAAACTCATTGTGATCCACGAGTTCAATTAGAAGAATAGAAAACACAATAAGTGATCTAGCTATACCAGGCTCTTCATACAGTATTATTCATATTCCTATATATATCTCCCAAAAGATATTTTTCATATTCTTTTTTAAATTGCATAATTGTTTATATTAAGAGCCTTTATTCTTCTGAATACTGAAATTCAAACCAAATAAACCTCAGAATTTTCAATTAATAAATTTACAAGACAAAGAGTTATTTAACAAAAAAAAACAACATATGCATCTCATGAGATTGTGGTCAATCACCTTTTGTTGGAAATAGAATGGCCTGGGGTAACATTCATATAAACCATTATCTATAGGGAAATATTGTTAAGCATTGTGTCTTAGAATTTCATCCCCAGGATTTGATAACTTTTATTTTCTACCAATAATAATATTTTGCATGTGAATCCAACAAATGCATATGGTACTTGTTGATAAGCATGCAGAAAATATATATTTTTTTATATGAATATGTACAAACTTCATTATTGCACCAAATCACAAGATAATATCATATCTTGAGCCACCTTCTCTTTTATCAGACTTTAAAATATTACAACTTATTGTGCTACCTACACCCACTAAATAAAGTTTAAAAAAATTTCACTCAATTACACGGTATACTTAATTAAATAACAAAATATACATACAAATCAAGAATTAGCATTTTATAAAGGAATCCTAAAAAATATTGATGCTGATACTAGGTGGTGTTTGATGGAAGTTATAATATTTGCAAATATCTAACAAGAGTTAGATTAGTCTATAAAAGCACTTTCCATGAAATCACTGTTGACCTTATGGACTTCGTCAGACACCACCCCTGACCGGTCACCCTCACTGGCATCTCCCTTGTAAGATGAGTACTTCATAAAGACCTTATCTATGGATCCGAGAATGGAGGATTTACGATCAATGCTTTCATAGTTTAATAAAGAAAATTTACTGAATGACTCCTCCATAATATTTTTTTCTTCTATATGATTAGCACCTCTGCCTCCAAACGTGGAGCATCGTTTTCGCTTGTGCGTATCAAACAGTGCTTCATCGTGTTCTGTGTCAGCCAGTTCATTACTAGAACCAGTGGAGCATGTAATTGACAAAATATCGCTCAAGCTGTTTTCCGATACACCAAGTGCTTTTTCCACTTTCTCATTTGATCCTTGGATTCGATTTCTCTTCGTTTTGACACTTTCTAAGCTTCCATTACTCTGAGCGTCACGGATACTATTCTCCGGAGGGAAACCGTTCTTTATTTTCTCAAATTCTACTCGATCCAGGGCATGATATTCATCATCAGTGCGTGGGCGAATGCTTGGTATTCTCTTTTTCTCAGGTTTCCCACCATTGGATGAACTAGGTTTCGAGAAGGTGTCACTTTGTTTTACTATTGGCGCACTCCCTCTCCTAATGCTCTCGTGAACATGGTGACTATCATGTAAGCTATATGTTCGTTGCATTCTTGGAGACACTAAACTTCCTCCTACCATAGTTACAGATCGTTTAAGTTGAGGTTTAGTTGTTACCGGAGTGTCTACATCAACAGATGTGTGTATAGGACTATTCGGAACCACATTGAATGAAAATTTATGCGATAATGATCCACTTGTTTTAACTGATGTTCCTAGTGTCATGTCCAATGAACTGTTTGAAGGTGGCAAAGCATTCCATATGTTTTGGTCATGTAAATCGCCTTTCATTTGAAGTTTTTCAAGATATGCAGGCTTCATAAGTGCATAGCCATCATCACCCTTTGATTCAGGATCCAAAACTATGAATCCATCACTACCAGTGGTGACTTTGGATGGCTCAGTTTGGCAACGCTTTCTTGGCGGAACAACAGGTTGAGCTAGTGGTTCAGCTGCGAGAAATGGATTCCCAATTTTACTTGGTTTGGCAGGACGAGGAGGTGCTTTCCGTTGACCATTGAGCGAATTCGCTGATTTTGGTGGCAAAGGAGGTGCACTGCCCTGAGATAAAAGTGGGACTTCCTCAGGATTATTCTCACTTTGTTTTTCAGAATTAATATATGTCTCGCTTCCATCTACCTCATCAACAGAATCTAGATCAACAGCTGGGGATTTTAATTTGTGCGCTGAAAACTCAAAACTGGAGAAAGGCTCAAGTCCTGTGGGTGAAGACAAACATGATGAAGACTGCGAACTACCATCAAAGTAGCCTGTATCAAATTGAAAAGTCATGACACTTGCGGAACGATTCCGATATATTGGCTTATCAACATTTGTACTATAACTTTCTGGTTTGCTCTTCAGACTTCCTGAACGACCACGCATAAAATTGCGTTTCAATTTCCCTTTAGGAGATGAATGTTTTTGTTTCTTGGATTTGGACAATTTAGTAACAATCAAATCGGAAGTTTCATCTTTCGGTGTATCGAGCTTTGTCTCTGATTGAACAGTTTGAGAAAGGAGAATAGCGTTAGTTGGTATGGTCAAATTGTCATGTTCAAATGGAGCAGGGACGGTCATCTGAGGTTCAGGTTTGTCAATATCATTTTCAGGTAATTGTTCTTGAGTTAATGCCAATTCAACAATTTTGTTGTTTTCAATAACATCCTCAGATTGGTGATTTTCGAGTTTCAATCCTACATCAAGCAATGTATTTTGTTCTGGTTTCGGCCCAAGTTTTTGCATAAATTCCGATCTTGGTTTTGGACCTAATCCTGGTAATGCACTATATTCTGGCTTCGGTCCTAAATCTGGTAATGCACCATATTCTGGTTTTCGTCCTAATTCTGGTAATGCACCATGTTCCGGTTTTGGTCCTAATTCTGGTAATGCACCAAGTTCTGGTTTTGGTCCTAATTCTGGTAATGCACCATATTCTGGTTTTGGTCCTAATTCAGGTTTCTGACCAGGTTTAGGACCTGGAACAGGTTTGGGGCCTAATTCAGGCCTGAATATTGGTGGTTTAGGTCCAAGTTCAGGTTTGATTTCAGATTTTGGTTTTGGTTTAGGCCCAAGTTGTGGTTTCATTGTTTCAGAGTCAGAAGGCCATACAGTTGACTTCGGTTTCGGACCAAGCTGTGGCGGCTCAATACATGGCATCGATGCTGCCTCGGTTTGAGGAATAACCCCTGGAATCATAATGTATGTATCCACATGGTCTTGGAGATGTGTTACTGCTGAAGATTTTACAAATTGCACTTGTGAGTTCAGGATATCATCCTGTTGGTGTTGTATATGATCATCTTTGATTTTAAGTCCTTGATATTTTGGTGTGATCAACTTTGAATTCCTTTCAGGTTCTGGATTCTGGCATTCTCTTTGCACACGCTCAAGTAATTCAGCATCTTTTGCCTGCAAATACTTTCTGTCATTCAAACGCGCAATTTGATGCTTTTCAGGTAAATCCTCCACATTTACATACATACTAGGGTCGCATGTTTCGCATTTCTTGGGAACTTCAGCTTGTACTGATTTCAGTTTAGGAATGCCAGAAGCATTTTGAGCTGAAGTTGCCAGTCTTAAATTTTTAAAAGAAGCCATAACTTCGTATAATTGTTCTTTAAATGGAAGAACTGCTGTTTCTTCAACCTCTGGATCTTGTCCAACAACTGGCAAGATATGCATGTCAATACCAGATTCCTGGCTGTATTCTCGCAATTGTTGTCCTATATGTTCCAATGTACTTTTTGTATTACCATTTTGCAATGCAATTTTAACAGGAGTAGCACTATTGGAGCTACAGGTGGAGCTTCCTCCTTCATGAAGGCTACCACTTCCAATCCCTTCCTCCCGGCTAGTTCCTGAAGTTTGATAGTAGCTACTGCTAGCACCGTTTCCATCATTGCTGCCACTGTTTCTACTATTATGGTCATCACGATCACCTTGTTGTGAATAAGCAGAATTATTAGTTGCACTTCGACCTCTAGTAAGATGTTCTTCATAAATTGAAACTGAAATGAAAAAAAAATACCAGTGGTGTCAGCTACTTTGAAAACATATCTTACATTTACTACTGACTAAGAGATTTAGTTGTTTTGTTTTTTTCTTCTGCCAAGCCTTTTATTTCCATAGTCACATAATTTATAAATGAAACATAATCACATAAGTTGTACTGTACATTAAAAAAACACTAGTAACATACTATTATAGAGAAAACATCATTGTATAAAAAAATATTACTTGTACTTATAAAAGGCCCCTTTTAAATAGAATCATAATTAAAAAAGAAAATAAATAAGAAAAAAAGTTTAAAAAAATTTTTTTTTTAATTAATTGCGCTTTGTAATTTTTTTTTAACTTAGTTGTTTTTTGCATAATTTTTGTAGGATAGTTTATATACTAAATTTATTGTTTAGTTGAAGACATACTGTTTGTATTGTGCTTTATAAACATGAAAAACATCTTTCAATATATGAATTTATTACTGCACTTTGTATATTTAGGTTGTCAAATTCTAATTAAAAAAAGGAAGAAATATAAAAATATATGCATACTTTTAAAAATAAACAAATAAAATTTCATTTCATTTATTTCACCTCAAAATAGGTCCTATTACTTGTAAAGAAGTCAATGCATCTATGACTACGCAAGCCAGAAATTCCAAAATAGGTTTTGATCTTACTTAAGCATTTCATTAGTTTTAAATTTACATGCACAGAGTTGAATTTAATATAGGATGTTTGAGAGTGATGAAGTTGTTCATTGGCGTTGTTAATTCTAGTTAAGCTTTCTTGATCTATATTAAAATTACTAGAAACTGAGAAGCCAGCTGTTGTTGTCACTGAATGTGGGTTAACCAACTTTACTAAGCCAATGCAAGACCACAATACATTATGTATGCAAAAATTCTAGTCCATGGAATTGCTTGCAGCCAATGCAGATACAGATACAGATTATGTATGCTACATGAGATGAAGCTCTCGCATACAATTATTTTGATAAATATACAAACTACAGAAGATGAATACAAAACACTATCTGTTGTACTAAAAGGCCATGTTTTAAAATATATTGATGTTTTTTTTTCCAAACAAAAATCTGAGTTTGGAAGGAGATTAATTTTTTTTTTTATGTTGAAGGAGATTTTATGAAGGTTCTTATGTATTGGAAAAACAGATATGGGACAAACTAGGTATGGGACAAACCATGCATGTAACAACCAAGGCCTGGAACAACTGTTTTTACATTTAGTCAACAATTTAGTCTAAGTACAATTATGACTTTCCAAGTTATCTACTTACTTATGCATAGCTAAAGGTAGTGCAAACATTAAGTTTTCTTTAGCATAGCCGGGGAGTATAAACATAAAATTGTATCAAGCCTGTTTTTCAAATAAGAAGAGGATGATCAACAACTATATATATGGTCTAATATATAAATACCAAAACTAATATTGTGATGAACTAAATGCAAGTCTATCCCAAAGGCTTTATTTCCTAATAATACCTGCCTGACATATTAGTTTACTTTAGTTTTCCACATCCTGTTAGTGGTTAGGCTGGATTTCAGTCTTCGTGTATGCGATTATATGGATAAATTTATTTACAATCTGAACTTCGTTGTTTTTATCAAAACTGATGTCATTGCTTATGTGATGTATTCAATATCATTCATTAGATCTTTATTTTTATCCGTTGGTATTAACATTATTAATTTTCTTGTTATTTTAAGTTGGAAATATTGTTTTTCAATCAATTATATTATCTTTAGATTAGATTCATAAGTATCTTATGAAGTAATAATAATAATAATAACAATAATAATAATAAGCTATGCTTTATAATAATCTTTGCCCATTCAAAGTAACCATGGAACATTTTCATCATCCTACCAGGTTTACATCTGCACTCTTGAATGGAAGGGGCCAAACATAGATAATGTACTTTGCTCAAGGCCACAAGCAAATACACTGCGTGGGATTTAAAACATTGACCTTAAGGTCAAGAGCATAAACTCAAACTGCTGTTGCAATGTACTCCCACACTACTAAAAGAACATTAACCGATTTAACAATCGTTAAATTTAGCACAATTTGAAAAACAAATGGGTAAGGACATTTTTTGTTTTGCTTATGGATACATCTGCAATACAGTAATACACATTTCTTTTATTATTTCCTTTTTTTTTGAATTAAACTTCAGACTGTCTCCATGCCTAAAAGGAATTTCAACACGTTCTAACATCACTACTGTACTTGAGCTAATATTAAGTATTGAAAATTGTCTCAAGTAGCCAACTTAAGCACAATAGATCGAGAAACTTGCTAAATATGACCAGCTCTAAAAGTGTTTTCATAATCATACTTTTGATTTGATGCCATAACTACAGCCATTTGCGACAGATGCGCTGGCTTGATTGCGTTTTTATCTTTAAAACAGACTGCAGAAATCTAGCACCGGAAAAAAAGTGCTGACTAGACACTTTAAATGCCATCTTTACTATCTAATCTAAAGGCCAATCATGCCATTATACTTGGATATCTTTGAATGTATAAAAAAACTGATGAGTTTCAGATTAGTTGTTTTATAAATGTTCATTATGTTAATATTTCTTCATTTTATAGACTATTTGCACTTTAAACTCCTCCCATCTTGATGTCAAATTCACTTTCCATGCATCCAGTGCTTCATACTTACATTTAAAAAAAACTCTTCCAATCTCAAACTAACATACCTACTACAATGAACGTTTCATTTTAACAATCTGCACTTCAAGTTAAATTATTATCCACAATCCAAGCTTTGAACTTAACTCCAACCATCTCTTCATCAAACTCCTTCTAACTAGACCATTAAACTCTTTCCAACTAGACCATCAAACTCATAACTAGATAAGTAAAGTCCCTTCAACCAGATTACCTAGATATAACTAGATCATCAAATTCTTTCCAACTAGATCATCATACTCCTTCAATCAAGATCATCAAAATCCTTCCAACTAGATCATCAAAAACTCTAACTAGCTAGACAATCAAACTTTTTCCAACTAGATCATCATACTTCTTCCATCAAAATAACCAACATTCTTCCAACTAGATCATCAAACTCCTTTTAACTTGATTATCAAAACTCCTTCCAACTAGATCATCAAATCCCTTCTAACGAGACCACCAAATTTCATTTAACAAGACCATCAAACATTATTTAACTAGGCCATTACATATCTTTTAACTATCTTATAACTAGATCATCTGCAATACCATAACTATTGATTTGATACAAAACTGCTGGTTCATCTTAGCTCAATACCAGTATATCTATTACCGAACACTCCTTTAATGTTTTAATTACTCTGTGGTTGGATTTAGCAGATCATATCTCACCCCGTTTTTATAGCGTTTATGGCTTTCTGAAAAGTTAATCTATAACCAGATTGACATTTATATCTCCAGCATCATAAATACTAAAACTTTAAAAGATTTAATGGTATTTAAATGTGCTTGTCCTTGTCGTTACTCTTCTCTGTAATATCCATATATACTTTTTATATTTTTAATGTGAAACATAATGGAAGTTTATAACCTAGTATGTTTTATTTTTTTGAGGTTTTTAGTGCTGCCTGTCATATGCAAGAAAAAGATTGAATTATGTCATACCAAGACATTTCTCTCAACATATTATTCCAATCTACAGTTCAAAATCTATAGTCCAAATGTTAATCTAAGGCAGGGGTTCTAAACTGGCAGAGTACGTGTTATGCGGACCATGAGGACAAGCCGAAAATAATATTCTTTGTTAGGATTGGGCTTTTATTTTACAGCCTTAATAATTTTGCATTTTGTTTTGCTGACTAAGCCCATATTTTGCCCCATATAATGTAGCGACTTAATTAATTATTTGGAAAAAACTAGGCCAATTGCACCAAACACCAAAGAAACATTATATTAGTAATTATCGATGACCCATTGTGTGACATATAAAATTTTGACTCTTGCATTACCAAGCACAAGGGAAACTTTCCTAAGTCAAGATGCCCTGCATGAGCGTCTAGCGGCTTATTATTTTCAAAAAATTTCTAATGCAGGAAGGGGAACATCTCCTCCCAAACATCTCACAATTGCGCGATTCAGATGGCGTGTAGGTGCCATAGTACACTTCTTGCCCTGGCACTTTAAATTTATTCAATGAACAATTTTGGCCCCTATTGCGATATAGTGGAGAAACAATAATCTAAGGGGAATGCAGAGATCCCAAGTTGAAAGAAGTCACTTACGGAAGATCTGGTTAAATGAGCTTTGTTAAGACATCTAACTCTATTTTGCTGTGGATGGTTATACCATCAGCACTTTTTTCCGTGAGTAATTGATAATAAAGTAGTGGAAACATGCAGGTATTATGAATTTGCGGAAGATGGCTTATTTTCCAGGAGTTTCTTGCTTGCTTGCAGGAGAGTAAGGGACCATTCTGATTTTCTGGCGACTCCCGCAGTGTGCAGGAAACCTGGGACCCCTGGGAATGTGGGAGGTGGGAATTACAATTTCAGAAAGTCTGCTCTCCCAGGACCCACACTGGAAATTTAAAGAGCAAAATAATTACATAGATATATGTTTTGAATCATCAGTTAAAAATCAAACCATGACAAGGGATTATAGAAAAATTAATAATAATAATAATAATAATAATAATAATAAACATAATTTTTGTTTTTGTATTATTGGAGTCTTTCTTATGAAAACACAATGATGCTTACAGGTACTAGAAAGGTGAGACCATCTGTTAGGCAACCAGGTGCTGAAGGCAGCATCAAAGTGACATTTTAGATCACCTGCTTGACCAGTCATTAAAACATGGCTACAACCTAGAAAAAAAAACAACTTTTGATTCATTAAATGTGATTGGCTCTGGCATAACCAGTCATGTGTTGGGGAAATTCAAAATGTGAGTTTACGAATATTTAATTCAACTAATATCAGCTATGTAGGTTTTGAGAACACAGCTTCCAAAGATTCCAAAATTAATTGTTTATTATTAAGATTTGTATTTTCAAAATCATTTTAATATACTTCTGTTATAAAATGCAAAAACTTAAAAATGATCAAAATCCTGATCTCAAATGTTTTGGGTACTTGTGGGAAATCAGAAATTGCGACGAACAGCGGGTTTTGGCAGAGCCTGTCACAAATATTACTTTGCATAATTTTCTGAATTAATAGGTTCTTTTTATATTCGATCTTGCTAATAGTTAAAAATCTGTAATTGAATCACAAAAATATCAACTGATTACATCATCTATTTTTAGAAGTCTGAGTTCTGACGGTTCAATCTTGTGATCAGATATATTTCAACATTAATCAAAAGTGATATTCAATGAAAGCTTGTTTACTTTTTTACGTTACAACAAAATTGTATTGATGATATTATTCATTGTATAAACATATTTTGAAATGAAATATTTACTGATTAACGATTCTTTTGTTGGGCATTATTATTATTACCAAGATATAAAACATACAAATAATAAAAGACAGAACTGAATGTAGAAGCATGCTAGGTTGAGCACAATTGATTCGTTTTTGGTTTGTTCCTGAAATGGCCATGGAATAGCCATGGACTACCCCTAGGTGCAAAATGTGGTCATTCAGTGATCTAATTTATATGAATTTGGCCAGAAATTGTCAAAATGTAAACACACTTGATCTCTTAAGAACTAGCACATTTCAGGGCCAGTAATTTTTTTGGGCCAGTTTACTGTATTCAACCCTGTGTTTGACCTGAAATTTACCTTTCTGATCTGTCAGACAAAAGAAAGTTATGGTCTCTACTAAATTTCTAGATTCATTTCAATTTTAAATCGCAATTAAACCTAACATACATCGTTTTTTCTCCTTTGTTTGAAACAAAAGACCTCCAGCTATCGTTCCATATCGATGAACATCTTCCAGGTACCAAGACCCATGTAGACGAATCGGTACTTCAGACGTAATTGCAAAATGGTTGTCAAAAAAGTATAACATCGCCGGACCAGCTGGAAGCTTGCCTCGGTTTGGTATGACCACTTTACATTTATATTCTATAACTGCATGAGAACAAGAAAAATCAATTAATTGTAAACATAACATTAATTATTTATCAAATTTAACGATATAAATTTAAACAACAATTTAAGAACTTATTAAAAACTTGTACCAGTAAACAAAATGAATTATATTTAAAAAATATATATATAACATGGGAACTTTCATTAATTTATTTGAAATTGTTTATTTTATTTTAATATTTATTATGAAAATTGTAAGCAATCAGGAAAAAAAAACCCAAATTACATAATCAACTCTACAGAATCAACAAATATAGAAGAGATGAAGTCAAACCCAGAGCTCTGGGCCTTTGAATACCCATCCATTTTTCTTTGGTGTTTGGGCTAGACTCTGCAATACTGTGGGGTAGGTTACTCCTCCTGCACCAAAATTTTGTTTACCTTCTCATCATACCAATCACTAAACTCACCAAAATATTCATAAATGGAGAAAAAAAATCATTAAAAACATAGTTTGAAATAGCAGGCAGACAGCGATGCTGATAACATGACCACTTACGACTTTTTAAGCTGTGTTTGATTCTGTGATACCATTGAAGTTGAGTTGAAGAGCAGGGAAACGAGAGTGCAATAATCTGATCCACACATACAACGGTGGTAATATACGAGTTGCCATGGTAATGGTGTCCACTATCAATTCCACAAAAGTTCTTGTCAGTGATGATGATTCTCTCCCTTCGGAGCTCTTTGGTAAGACGATCCTCATCTTTGTAGAATGAAAGTGTGAGCTGGTCTGCAAAAACCACACAATTTAAAAAAATATTATAATTACTTAAATAGTTTGAAATATAATAACTTAGTCAAAGGATCAGTTTCAACCAAAAGTTTCAAAAAAAAAAAAATTGTGGAGTTGATTAGCTGGGTGGTGCTTGCCTTCTAGTCACAGGATCCTGGGTTCAAATCCTGTCAAATTCCAAGATTTTTTCTCACAACAAATCAACTCCCCTCCATAAACCTAGCTATGAGACTTCGTTTATGTAACGCATCATGTGTATATATGTTTGTCATGTGAAGGGATTGCCACCTATCTAATAGGACAGCGATTAAATCGCTATTGGTAATCCTTGGCCAAGTGCCCAAAGGAATAAAATTAAATAAATAAATATCATTTGAACATTTCAATAACGTTTCTTCTTGAATAAGCATTGCAGTGCTTCACAAGTACACATTACCCAATACACCTTGAAAATTTGTATCATCGCAACAGTATAAAGTAAACAATTGTTCACAGACTAAATAAACCAAATGTTGCACTAACACATGGGACCATTTTAACAAGGTAAGGTAAAACCCTGTCCAGATTGTCAACATTTATATGCCTATATATAGTCATGATGTACCTATATATGGTCATGATGTGATGTCATCATGACCATATTTAGGCATGTCACATGTTTTGTCAAATAAAATTTGATAGTCTCGGCAGGTCTTTATATCCAAAACAACACTCAAAATGTTTGTAATACGCGCCACTCCCGAAGGCTGTACGTTGGACAGTTTATCAGTATATGGATCTAATTATGAGGGTAATAATATTACAAGCATTCTGACAGACTTCCGATTGTAAAAGGTGATATATAAATAACTGAACACTCATTATTACCAAAATAGCATTTGAACTGTACTCATTAAATTCAACCTTTACCTGAAATTAATACATACTTTTTTTTTTAGTTAACTATTACTGTACTCTGGGATTTGTGTAGTAAATTATTATAACAAATGCACTAGCACTAAACATTGGAAATGCAAACAAAATCACACCACTTCCATCACATTAGCTTTATTCATTTTTTTTTCTAGCTTACCATTGCTCTTGGATTTTTGAAGTAAATTTTCATAGTAAACTACTAACTACCTGTAATAGGGGGACACCTTAAGGATAAGGAAAAGTGGACAGATTAAAGCCTCCCTCCTCCTCCTCCTCCCCCATCCCCATTAAAGGGATAAATGTGTTATCTTTCTTAACAAATATAAGAAGCGCTTATTACAAATATTTTGATTGTTGTTTCCTATATAAAGACCTTTCGAGACTATCTTTCTTAACAAATATAACAAAAATTATAAAAGTGTTTTCAAGATTTTTTTTATCAAGCCATAATTTAAACAAGAATCGATATTCTTGTCTTTACATCACAGTTGGGTGTACACAATCTTGATTTGAAGTAATTCTTAATTGGCCATACGGTGTTAGTCCACTTTGTATAAACCAATCTTGTCAATGTTGGCCCTTAGCCATGGGACTGACTTTTTCCTTGTCCCTTGAAAAGTGTTTTACATATGGGATTTCAATCCATAACTGGTACCCTGATTTCATTTAGTTTCATGTAGGCCTAACTTTACTCTATTCAAGCACTAATAGGAAGCTTTTTTACTTCAAAACAAGAATATTGTATTCGGTCAGTGTCCCCTCAATAGGGATACTCTTATTCAGTAGACACCTATATGTCAATAAGTGGGTACTTATGTTTGCCCTCAATGTGTCTCCTAAATAAGGAATCTAATGTAATCGAACCTATTCTAGTGGTGTACTAACCAAGGATACAAGCGAATGAAATCCCACAGCAAATGAATGCAGAGGAAATACCACCACTGGGCAATGTTTGTTGATTTGTGGTTTATGTTTGTTAATGTTTGTTATTCTCTGTTTCTTACTTAATACCAAAGTCCATAACCCAAACCCAATGCCTAAAATGTACATTTTTATTGCAACAGAAATGAAACACATAAGACTTGTACCATTTTTAGCTATTAGCAACAAACTTTTAATGGGTATTTACATTTAATTAGAAGGTATTTGAGAAAAGAAATCAGGACACCAAATCAAACAATATCACTTGTGTTATGAGGAATGAGCCACAGGCCTCCTGTTTTTGCAGCAATTAATGTATCAGCATTCCAGGATCTGTACTACAAATTACAAGTAGAACAAAAAAAGAATAGAAAAAAAGCAAAAATATACATGAAAACAAAATAACAAAAATATACATGAAAACAAAATAACATGATTTAAGACAAATATCATTTTAACACAATCCGACTGAACCCACTATAACATATTTTGGTATATTATTAGATGACCAAATAACCAACATTTCTTATCATCAACAAAAAATTTATTTGTAAACAAAATATTAAAATTTACCAATTGAACAATTTTTGTACGGAACAAACATTTAAGTAATTGACTGTGAACAGGGTTATTAAAAAAACAGGTCTTAAGCTTAAGAAACACTACTAATAATATTAATCATTATTTTTTTATCTAAAGATATTTACCATACAACTTCAATAAAAATACGACCAACAAATTTAATTTTATCATACTCAAGCATATAATAAAGCACACAGTAACAAAGGCCTATAAAGAACCATTACTTTACATTATGCACAATTTGTATACTTAATTATTATTTAATTATGCCTATTATTATTAATGATTCCAAACAAACATGTCATTCAGCTTGCTTATATAACTTATAGGTTATTTTTTGTAATGTTTGGCATCATGTATCGGGCTTAAGTTTCCCTTAATGAATAGCTATACAGTAAGTAATGCTCAAGACAAACAAACAATGCTTTTATAATGTGGGATTACTAACAACTCTGAAACAAAAACTTTTGTCAATGAATACATTGAAGTTCAACGAAGCAAATGGGTAAAAGCAACGTTTCAAGGAACATTTACCATGATTTCACCTCAAAATCACACCACCCTTAATCTACACCCTAACTGCTTGCCCGCATACTTTGAAAATTACGAGGATAGATCTTTGCGCAAAAACAAATATTTTTGGGTTAAGGTTATACACTGTCTTTCAACACATATACAGTTTCTTTTCTATTTCGGTTTGAATGGGTCTTTGAGCCGGCATGGATCAAAGACTTTGCACAACAACTAACTGGATTATTTTCACTGTTTAATAGTCACTTAACATAACAGGCGTGAAATTCAGTTACTCGCAGTTCAGTAGCTATCTATTCCAACTACAGTAGGATATAGAATTTCAAATTTAACCGTTGGATGCTACAGAAATGATTGCTCGAAATTTATGAGAAAAACATGCAGCATTTTTAGCGCAAGGCTCAGTAACTTTCAAATACCTTCTGTTTTCATCAGTAAGACATGTTTACTTCCCAGATGTAAATAACATTTGTTATAAATCCATCTTGAAAAATGAAAATACTTTTTGAACAGTGGGGTGTATATACGTCAATATAAAAACAAACTATTTGCCACCTTTCACAATGTTGACCTGAAAACAAATTATACTAACCCAAAAAATCAGTAAAGAATATCAAAAATTTCTTAAACTTCCAATTTGCAAAACTGAATTATATAATATATTTGTATACATTTGTATACTCTCTGTTACCTCTGATTGGAACACCTTTAATAATAAAATAAAAAATTCCCCATCAATTGATTTTTCTTGCTTCAGAATTTTTTTTATCGGGAGAACTGGGGAGTATTTTTT